CCAGCAGTATTTTCTTTTAGCCAGTAAGGATTTACGCAGATGGTACCTCATTGCAGTTCTGAGGTACAGCATCTGAGGAGAGTACTACCATCAGTGACAGACAGAGTAGGAAAACATCTCCTGATTTCCCCAAAATGCTTGACTTCTATAATATGCACATGCAAGAAACATAAAAAAATATATCCCAAACTGTTAGAGCTCCATGAAGGTAACAAAAGGACAGCCTAAAATATGAAATGGAGTTCAAAAAATCATGACAGCTAAATGCTCTGTAATTTGGCAAATGCTTTTATATTGAATTATATAAATGCAGACAAACAGCAAAAAATATAAAATGTTCTGATGCTGTCTAAGAGAAGATAGCCTACAAGTTTCTCAAAGCATGTACTAAGGCCCACTTGGGCACTAAATGAGCTACATCAATACATGCAAAGCAACTCAAACTAGCCAGGGCAGTATGTAGTCACACAGACAGACAAATGAAAATGTACCCCAAGTGTGATTCTCCCCTGGCATGAAAGCCCATAAGAAACAGGAAAAAATGGGTCAAAAAATTCTATTAATCACCTGTAATTATTAATACATTTTAGAACAGAACACATATTTCAGTACCTCTTAAAGCAACCATACCAGATTCTCAGCATATAGATCCATGCTGCTTGTACGAGCTCTACCAGAGCCCTGGCTCACACTTGACAACTGCTCTCCATTACTGCTTTCCATCAGCAACACCTGCACTTTCATAATACCACCACTTTCAGGAAAAACTCCGCAATCAGTTTATAATTTAATTTCTGAGTTATACCACTGGGGAATGTAGTCACTGCTTTGGAAATTATATAGACTGTCCATGCTGTAGTATGAGCAGACTCACAGAGTTTTTTTATTGGTACACATTCTTCAGAAAAACACAGAAGCAAATACATTCCTATGTGGCAGTGACATCCAAAATACCCTATTTATCTTCCTTGTAGTGTTTACTATGAATAACAGAACAGACTATGTCCTTAGATTCGAAAAATTCTTTCTTTCAGCAAGTTAATAAGAGTTTGTTGGAAGAAAAAACAATTGTTTGTAGCTATACAGCCCCAGTTTCTGACTTCAATGTTAGGTCTACTCATGGGGTGTTAAAAATTCTACCCCATGTATCAAAGTGGTCAAAATCTTCTGAACTGAATAGAGCTCATCTTCAGTGAAGATGTGGTTCGTCAAGCTCAGAGACAAAATACTACCAACTTGCCTGATCACAGTAAGTTGTGATTCTTAACAGTGCCCATCTTATTTTATTGACTTCTGGTTTCAGAAAAATAAGCCCTTCTCTGCTTTATGTGCTTTCTCACAAAGAGCAGCTTTAAATGAGCCAGAGCAGTTTTCCAGTTTTACTAAGTTTTAACATGTGCATTTCATATTCTTCCATAGTTCAATCAGCAGATGACTCATAATAGGTTATAATATCCCTAAAACACTCATTTAGTTCACAAAAGATTTTGTCAGATCCAAAGAAGAGGAAATTTTCTTTGGAGACAAAAGTTCTCACACTGAAGTCACGAACTGGGGAAAACATGGGGAGCAGGCCTCAGCCTCTGATTTGGGTTGATCCCCAACTCCTCAGAAAATTTGGCTGGTTTAGGTGCTAATGTAAACTAGCAGGATAGGGACTTTGCAAAAGAGACATCACTACTTCTTCCTTAACTGGAAGAGGTGGGTATAAGGTAACTGCTAACAGGGCCAAGCATAGGGCTTAAAAGGCTTTGTTCACACTGAGACTATTGTTTGGTTCATAAGGTGAGAGAGGAGTTGCAGCAACATGACTCATGTTCAGTTAGTCCCCAGTGAAGTGCAGTAATAATATTACAGAAAAGCCTGCCTTTAGGAGCAATGGAACGGATGTTTCTGGAAGGCCGCTTAGGGGACCTGCACTTTGAAAGGGAAACTGAGGCCTTCAAAATTCCATCTCCTGAGTCTGCCCACCACAATCCCTCAATACAGGTATGCAAGGCATATCTACATTCTGCACAGGAGGAAATGACTTCTTCATCTCAGCCAATATTTTTTTGCACAACAACTGGGCATAACATTAGACCAAGTCTGGAAACTAGTAAAATATGGAGATATTTCTAGTACAGTTTTGTAAATACTATGTTGTAAATCGTAAACCTATACAGCAAAGCTGTCTGCATATGCATCTGAACATTTGATTTTCCTTTAGCTTCCTTTCTATTGTAAATAACTAATACACTTCTTTTTAAAATACACTTACTGTCCACACAGTAGTAGTTTCATCTGTTCGACGGACTTGTATTTCAAAAGACATTGCCAGCTCAGCATCATGCGCTGACTTGCCAACATCCCATTCCACCAGCAGCCGCTGAAGAGCCAAATCCTTGGAAATCTTAAGGTACGTAATTGGAAACACAGTGGATTCTAGGACCACAAACAGGACACAAAAATATTAATGCTTAGCTAAGTTACAAAGCAGATCTGAAACAACAGTGGTTAGAGGTAAGACAGGTTCCACACCAGACAGTTCTGAAGGAAAAAAAAGCAAGTGATCAAGACTCATGTTGTTGATATCAAAAGCAAAGATAGCCTTTCATCTTAAGGCATCAGCAGGCTAGAATGAGGTTCTTGAATCGACTCAATAGCCCCCCACCATGACACGGGTATGCTATTTAATTTCTTTGTGCACTCAATTTACTAGCTACTTTATGAGAATATTGATCCATCCCTTTATAGTCTTATGAAAAGGAACAACATTATGTATTAACAGGGACTGAATCCCAAGAAATCCCAACCCCCAGCAAGCCTTCTCATCATTAGAGCAGAAAAACTAGGCTCAATTTTGCTCTCTGACCTAATTAAGATTAAATTAGTTGATACAAGTCAAGTATTTGAATGGGATAGGTTAAGAGTTTCCATTCACTAGCTAGCTCAGATGATAGTCTAGCATTTGGCACTGGTTCCTCTACACAAAGCTTCGGTACTTTAGTCAGGCCTATGGATTCTTCTACTGGAATTAGACACCTAATTATAATGGCACCCCCATCCTTTTGTGGGCCTGGAGTTAATGCCCAGAACAAAATAAAGTTTAAAAGTCAGACTGAAGTCTCTTTTGGTGTCAGGAAAAGAAAGGCCCCTTAGGAAGACTAGCCTGCTGAAAACTACAGGCCATCTTATAAGTGGTCCCTCTTTTTAGATGTTTGTTCTGTCACCCCTCCCCAAAAAACCTAACTATTGAAAGAGATTAAATACTGTGCCACTGATCTGTACCTTCCCTCCTTCCTGAAAAATGAACAAACAAACCAACCAAAGGAAAAAAAAACCCTAAACTTGATTTGGTTGTTCATGAAGCCAGGGAACTGAAATGGCCAAGTAACTAGGCTTTTTCTTTTGCCACAGTTATTTTCAAAGATGCTTCTGCTTGTTACAAATGACAGGGTCAGAATGCTTCTACTGACCAGGACACAGAAAAGAAATCACAGAACGAACTGTATGTTTTAATAAAATAGAAGTCATTCTAGGCACTCCTGCCCCACTACAGCCACAGTCCTCAGGGACATGCTGGACTGAGAGACCTCAGCAACTCCTTCTCACAAAACTGCCACCTACAGTCATTTCTCCCAGATGTGCTTCTACGTCACTGGCCCAATGATTACCTGAAACTTTTACAGAATATTACTGGCAGAAATGCAAGCATTCAGGAAATTTAGTTTGAGAATCTACATTTTGATAGATGTTTCTGACAGCAATCAGATATCCAAACCATTTTGCAGTTTATTCTATGGTGCCTGTTCTGCACTAACTTCTGTGCAGCAGTTTTCCTACGTATTCCCTACATATGAATCTTTACATTAACTGTAGGAAATTAAGAGAAGCAGCAGATATAACAATCTCTGATCAAAGGAAGCAAATACTTTGTAAGCATATTTATTAATTATGAGACTATAGACTCTGACACAGCTTAGTTGTACCAGTCCAGCCTATAATTAAAGAACAAAGGGAGGAAAGTATATGTTGTACCATTAGTAACAACCTATTAAAAAACTGCTGAAAGACATGACTGTTTCTCTTTTAGCAAATCATCTACCAACTCTGTTGGCATATTTTTAATCTATTCTATTTTGAAAAGTACTGGAATTCAAAGCAAAATGAAAACCATGCGCTTTCAATCTAGAGGAAACTACTGACATAGGCTTCTTCAGATATGCTTGGAGGGAGAAACCAAGGTTTCATTGTTCAAATACTTGGTCTCAGAAACAGGATTGTGGTATCCTAAAGAAGTTTTTGATGAAGAAGTATACACTGAAGAAGTATACACACATATATATGCACATGTACCTTCTATCAATTCTCACTGCAGCCTTAATATTTAATTACTGGAAAAAGATGAACATATTTAAATTACGTGAAGGCAGAATTTGACAGCATTAGTGTCTTCTGTAAGGTAAATGAAAAAAATGTTTCAAGTACAGAGGTAAAATTTCCTTTTTGGCTATGGTTATGACATGGTCCTTAAAAAAACATACCTGTTGCTTGACAGTTGCTTTTGAAAAGTAATGGCAATCAGTTTTATACTACCATAAGGAAACCCAGCACCTATGAAAACTAGTAGATGTCTGGAACTGAATAAACAAAGTGGAAGGACTGGGGATAAATTTCATGTGCCTATATGACGAGGGAGCAGCAATTTTAGGTTTTACTGGAAAACAGAAATATTGTTAGCTTCACTGCCAAGGACTGGCCAGGCAAAGAGCCAGAAAAACCAAAGCAACGAAGTGAGCAATAAAATTAACTAGGGAGGCAAATCATCTTACATTATTTTGGGAAGGTAAGACAAGACATACTTCATCTCCCCACATTCTATAGACTTTCACCATCAAAACAAGGTAAAGGCTGTTAAAATCCCACTTGTGCTACAGAATTGACTGTAATGTTGTTCCTCTCCAGTATGTAATCTTGGCTGCTCATTTTCTGGTCAACCTTACTGTATGTTCATCATCCTTTTATCTGAAGCACCATGTACCAAGCCTCTGAGAGGATCTCATTTCAGATATTCAAATAGGTAGCTAACCTAAAGCTCTGGTCCTTGCCATTCTTGTGTTTTCCTTCTGCAGTGCTAAAGCAACTGGGGGAGAGAGATGGGCCCAGTACAAATAAACAAACCTAAAGAAAAGGACCTAGCTAATTTCTCAATTAAATTCACAGGCACAAATAGGGAAAGGAAACAAATACACCTGAAAGAAAAGCCAGTCAGTTGGCAGAAACCCCTTCCTTTTTCAGGGTGTACCATTAAAAGAAACCCCTGTGTATCTTCTGAATTTCCCTGTCCTCTTTTACGCTCCGTCTCTAGCCAATTCTAACTGTGTCACTACTACACCTATTGCATGGATGATGAGCTTGTCTCTCTTCTCTACATCTGTCTCTTCTTGTCCAAGCTAAAATCTCATGCCTTTTCTCACCATGGAGAATATTTTCACCTGCCACATTTAATTAACCTGACAAAAATGCAAAAGTCTCATTAGTTTCTAGTTTTTCTCCATCTGTACGAGTGTCACTCCAGTATCTCCTTTTAGTTAGATGACGTGTCACTTCAGATCTCACACAATTTTGTTTTCCACAGAGCCTGCCGTAAGACAGTGTAGATCACCACCAGTCAGGGCTTGTACACAGTACCAACAAACAGAAGAAACAGTATTGTTAAGGATATACCCAAGATCTTGAAGACCACTGAGTTACAATGTGGGACTTAAAGACTTTTGTAGTATAATTTACACATGTAGAACTATTTGTAGCAGTCACAGTTATAATCTTCCCCTCCTAGCAAAGTTAAATAATCAAGGCATCTTAAGACTTGTTTTAACTTGAAAGCTAACTCAAGACTACATGAATAGCTTTATTATTAACAACAGAGACTAATTTTATTCCTGAACAAGTACATGTGAAAACAAGTGACCAAGTCACTGCAATGCAGTAACTGTTTGGACTTGCCTCCATTACAAAGTTTTGCCACTGTAGGGGCATTGGTAATAGAGCCTCAAAACTGAGGAACTGGCACCTTAGGTGAATGGAGTGCGAACACATGAATCTCAAGGTGAAGAGAAACAAAAAAGTCTGAAACAGATATATTACATCCTTCAGTATGATAATAAGTACATTTATGCAAAAAAGCATCCCTCTCCCTCCTTCACCAATTTAATTAAGGCAATACAACTTTTATAATGCAGACTTTAATCTGGTAAGTTCTGCCTTCTTAATGGTGGTCACAGAAAAGTCAATTAAAAATATTCATTTTTTTTTTTCTTTTAATGGAGTCATGTCCAATGCTATTGCCAGCAGCAAGTGTGCAAGCAGTACTTCTACCTTAAAATACACAGCCTTCTGGAAAGTTATCTCTATATTCAATTTTGTTCCCTCAGAATATGCATATTTGCTTTTTTCTTTGTATTTGATACGTATATGAAGTGTAAGAAATAAAAATCTAGTCCTGGAATCTTGAGACACAATCAGAAAAGAGCGAAGAGAAGGTTACAGTTTTCATAGATGAGACAAACAAAAAAGAGAAAGGGAAGGGAAGAGGTAGAAAAGCATAAAAGTTGTCAAAGAGGAAATAAATTATTTGAAGATGACAGAGTACAGATCAAAATCATATGAGACAGAAGGGGAGCAGATAAATAAATACACTCAAGTTTGCAAGATGGGGTTACAAAAGGTAATTATACAAGTTGCTTCATCGCCTTACCAAAAAGAGTAATTTGATTAAGTGTGTAACATGTTGCTTCATCACAGGAGACTTAGAAACGAGCAAGTCCAAAGCTTCAGTTGTAGATTGCGTGCAAATAAAAAAAGTAAATATTCAGACATTTACCTTGCTGTGAGTATGTAGTGTAGCAAGTCCTCAGGGGGAGTAGTACTGCCATAAACATGAAGTGATTCATCATTCATCCGTCTTTTCCTGCACAAGACTTACCACAAAAGAAGATATTTCTATTTATTTGTTTCTTTTAGGAGAAACACATACCAGAAAATAGTCCAGATAATATTACTGTATTTAAGAATGAATAAATAAAAACCTAATCACACAGTGTTCAGGCAGTTTAAGAGAAATTCAAGAAGAATGGATAAAGAAAGATAAGGAATGAAAAAAACCTCTTGTTTTTAGGACCCGGTTACAGCACAGGGAAAAATACACTACACTGAAAAAATTCAATTTAATCTAAACAAATGAAACACAGTTTTCCCTCCACGTATTTCTAAGGAATATTAAAACAAAAGTTTGTCCTGATACATTTTGGCTTTCCTCCTATACAAGTAACAAGATATCCATACTAACAAGGGAAAAAAAAAAAGTATCAAAGGTGCTAAAAGCTTTGTGGTTTCTGCTCTACCTAGAGCCTGACTGATGAATCCAGCAGACTTTGGCAAGCATGGTCTTACCCTTTGCCAGCACCCAGGACACTGCATGGAGGGCTTTAGTTAGACTGGAGTTGAAATATACGTATCAAAGTCTTAGCAAGTTCCATTCCTAGAAGAACCATCATCTCAAGCGCCACATAGCTCTATCTAGCATTCCTTTTACAGCTTTTACACTCACACTGTGACAGGATGAAACTCCATTTGACTTGCACGGCCCAGTCCTGAGGGACTGGTCATATGTCAGGTCTCATAAGACATGAATCACCTGCGAATTCCCCCTTGCAGAAGGGAGAGGTAAACATTCAGCAGCAATATGGTTAAAAGCACTCAGGCACAGAGGGTACAGGAATCCAAACAACAGGAACAGGACTAGGGATACAGCTATCTTTAACTTGTAATTTCCACATTTCACATTTCTGGAGCTGTATGGAATACTGATAAAGACAGCCTTCTACCACTGCTTCCATAACAGAAGTTGAAACTGCTTAGCAGGACAGATAACCAGGATGACCTTCTGTCCCCACTAAAGCCAAAGACAGAACATTTACTGATTTCAGAAGGGCCAGGAATTCACTCCATAATTTCTTCCTAGTAGAAAACCTGCAATTTAATACTTCAGAGCTACAGACACTCAAGTTTAATGACCCTGCCTTAGACTGAATGGTTTTGAGAAGCTCTGAATTTCTCCAAAGGATCAAAAGAAAATATGTCAACCTTCTTTTTTACAAGTTTCTAAAGGTCACATAGAAATCAAAGAAGAGTTCTGTGTCAAGCACTGCAACCCAGGGCGCAACGCCCACAACAAGCACCCTTGCTGCAGTGTGCCCTAACTTTTTCCTTGTGAGCACAAATGCTTCAAATGGACGCCCCCATATTTAAGAGGTGAGTGTTGCCTTGCCTAATGTATAGGCTTCTGCAGTCTTTCTTGCCATTATACCAATATCCTCAAAAGTATTTAGACAACACTAAAATCAACAAGAATAAAGATTCTAAATACTTTTGAGAACCTAGGCCTAATTCACATGCAACTAACAGACTGTTCCAAGAACTGACTTAAGGAAATCTGCATCTTTATCCATTTTCTAAGTTGAGACTATTTTATCACCTAGTCAAATGTAATACCTAAAGGGAAAATAATTTTATATGTTCTGTCTGGAATAAACACAAGAGAATGGCTCGTTCTTATAGAGCAGTGAGTGGCAAGTAAGTGACACAAAAAGAAGTCTTTCCAAAGCAGATTATGTTAAAACTTCTGGTAACTCTTCAGTAGATTGTTACTCTTTTGAATTCTATGAAATTAATATTGAGACACAAAGTAGAATCTTGCATACATTTTTTCAGAAAAAAAGTGAAAATAAAACTTCCTTTACAGTCAAGGGAGTTGACCCTCTGCTCTAAGACCAATTTAGTACAAGGTTGGTCAGTTAGGTTCAGTGGCATAACTCCTGATTTAACTGTATCAGCATGAAGAAAACCTGGCCCCACAGGACTCCTGATTTTGTGAACATCTTTGGGGGCTGGACCTACAAACTTTGCCCTATTTGTCCTGTATCACTTAAATCCAACATTAAATACAGTGGAAAAGTATTGTGGAAGTCACGGCATATTAGCCTATTTGTTTAAATTCCTTCCTGTTTGGAAAACAAATCCAAACTCTTTTCTGCTCAAAAGAGGCATTCTCAACTATTGTATTGAAATAAATGTCTAATTTAACTATCTCTCCCTAGTCATTTACACTGTCTGTTCACTAATGACACAGCCTGGATCACTTCTATTGATGCATAGTACAAATGCTGTATGCTACTAAAGGGCAGTGTAATATAATAAATGATCATCACAATATAAACATAATTTGGACAGCTATAACGCTTTTCACTATTCAGTATGTTAATAATCTAGTTTAATATTGTATAATAAATTGTGATAATCTGTGCAATTGCAGGTATCAAACCAGTTTTCATGGGAAAAGTTCTGGAATTCTCTAAACAAAAAGAATATGATGTGAATTTAAATAAACGACACACTATTTGAGAAAAAAGAAATACAGTACTTAATATACAAGTAATATTTTGACTTAAATCATCTTTACGCAGAAAATTCTGCCTATGACTAACAAATTAATCACATACAAACTAATTACTACCAACAGTAATTACTACCAACTAATGTCAAGCACTTATTCTGCATTATCAGTAATAAATTACTTTTAGAAAATCATCATTTAAAAATCTGTGTCTTGTTTACAAAGCTTAAAAAAGAATCAAAACAGTTGTACAAAATACATTATCAATTTCATTTTACAAAACGCCATAATTATAACAGATTAACTACACCCTTGCCAAAAGTGAAAATAATTGAACAACAAAGGGAATGAAGACAGGAAGTTAAGGAAGGTTTTTGGGTATCTGAATAATTGATCACCCTGAAAGATGCAAAGTACTACCTCTGAGAAACAATGAGCAACTATCAAATGCCACAAGAAAAGTGACAATCACAACCATTGTTCCGGTGAATAGCTCGGCTTAGATTTGAAAAGATACGAATATCACACTAGTATGCCACAGTTCTTCATCTGAGAATGAATCACTGCTGACTGGGTTTTTTTAAGCCTAAGAGAAGTCATGTTTTATCACCATGCTCCGACCTGGAATGCCTGTGTACTTTGTTTCCATGAATTGCAGGTAAGAACAAGAAGCTGTCGTGCCAGTGATTTTGAATATGGACTACAGACAAGTAATTTGAATACTTTTTCCTTTCTAGTTACTTTTGTCCTTAAGACAATTTTGCAATGGCATTTCTCAAGCCTATCACAGAGCAGTTTGTCCAACTGTGTTTTGAAGAACTCCAGGGATTCCACAACTTCTCTGGGCAACTTGTTCCAGTGCTTAACCACCCACACTCACTGTGAAGGTTTTTTCTCCTTATATTCATACATTCATTTTTCTCCTTGTATTCATATAAGGAGAAGATCTTCTTATGTTCTCCTTATATTCACATACTCATTTTCCTCTTTATATTTTCTTTGCTACAATTTGGGCCTGTTTCCTCTTGCCCTTTTTGCTGTACAGCTCTGCAAAAAGCTTAGCTCTGTCTTCTCAGTAACTTTCCATTAGTTAGGTGAGGACTGCAGTTACAAGCTGCCCTTACCTTTCTCTTCTCAATGCTAAGCAAACTCAGCTCCTCCAGTGGACTCGTACATGTGCTTTAGCCTCCAAAGCCTCCTCGTGCCTCTCTGCTGGACTCAGTCCAGTCTGCCAGACTTCTTTGTACTCTGAGCCCAAAACTGGACACAGTAATTTAGATATGGCCTCATAGGTGCCAAATAGAAGGAAATAATGATTCCCCTAAGCTCTAATTCTTTGCCATCATTAACAACAGTAGTTACAGTTCTAATTTCTGTGATGAATCTGGTTATTGGGACACACTGTGAAATGATCTATAAAATGGGGATAATACTAAGCTATATGTTAAGGATGACTGGGCATAAAATTATCTGTTAGAGCTATAAAAGTTAGCTGAGCAAAAGATTTTTCATTTTACCCTATATTCTTCCCCCTTCTAAAAATTCAACATTGGTGGCGGAAATAAAGCTGGCTTGCTCAGCCTTGTCAGTCTGTAACCTGAATCACTGAGATTTTTTTTTTAACTCATTAATATATAGTCTACTTGTAATTCTTCCCATTGGAAAAATGTAACTTGGGGTGTGACAAAACAGATATAGATGGATTTAGGACTCCCCAGACTAACTTGAAATTAATCAGTACTGATAGCTACATCAATAGAACAGAACCATTTTGGAGACCTGGCAGCAACTGCAATAATATTCAGCAGCAACAGGAATTGTTCAGAGATCTGACAATTAAAGAGCAATCACTTAAGAACTGGAGACAGCACAGGAGTGAATTACCTTGGGAAGAGATGAAATCTCCTTCAGTAGATAGTTTGTGAATAGTTTAAATACATATCTCTAGGTAAACTATTTCTGCTTCAGAGGAAAAACCTGGCTTAGATGATCCCTGAAGTCCCGTCCAGGCCAATCAATGTTTTTGTGATGCCATGGATGAGAGGAAAAAGAAACTCCCATTATTCATCTGGTAAGTGTGTCTAAGACAAACATTTCATCAAACCTCTTTTCAAAGACATTAAAGCACCAAAATTCAACTGAAACCTCTTTCAAGATAAGGCTCACAGTACTTGGGAGTTGTTCGCTGGGAGCTGGAACTATACAGTGCACATACTGCTGCAGTACCTGGAATATCCATGAGTGTAAGAAAAGGAAGGCCCTGCTATGAACATCTAATCATAGCTGACCGCAGAGTCAATCTGTTTCGTATCAATCTTCCTAAAACCACATATTTCAAATCATACTTCATACAACTTTCTTTTCTCAGTGCCCTTTATTTTGCTTATTTAAAGCAGCTGCCAGTTACACCCACATCCTCAAATGAACCAAAGCCTGTACACAGGCTGGGAAAAGAAATGTTTTCAGCTGCTAGAACCCAGAAACCCTTATGCATTTAAAGAAGAGTATTAGAT